AATGAGATGTGCAGGTGGATTTTTAAGGATTATCACACAGTATCTAAGTACTGAAACTTGGTTTTGTTACCTGGTGATTTTTGGAAGTTGTCAGTGGATTTTTAAGGATTATCACACAGTATCTAAGTATTGGAACTTGGTTTTGTTACTGGAAGTGGGCAGGTGGATTTGTAAGGGTTATCACACATTATCTAAGTACTGAAACTTGGTTTTGTTACCTGGTGATTTTTGGAAGTTGTCAGTGGATTTTTAAGGATTATCACACAGTATCCAAGTACTGAAACTTGGTTTTGTTACCTGGTGGCTTTTGGAAGCTGTCAGGTGGATTTTTAAAGATTATCACACAGTATCCAAGTGTTGAAACTTGGTTTTGTTCCCTTGACTCAACCTCAGAGTCAGAAGGTCCCCTGTGTGCCCTGGAGGTGCAGGATGAGCCGTGCAGTTCCATTTGAGTCCCTGTGCCTGCAGTGGCTCCTGTTAGTGGCAGGTGGGGTTGGAGATGCTTTTTGCTGTGCTCACCCCCTCAGACTCCTCCTGGGGAATTGTCAGGGTCTGTGTTCCCCTGTGTTCCCCTGTGTTCCCCTGTGTTCCCCCGTGAGCGCAGCACTCTCAGTGTGGTGGCTGCCTCCTGTGTCTGTGACAGCAGCCTCTGAATGCTCCTCTCAGAGGTGTTTGGAGACAACTGGCTCCTGCAAGTGTTTGGGGAATCTGTGCCTTTGGAAAAAGTGAATATTCCTCATGAAAGGACTTCAGTCAGTGGAGGAAACAGTGCAGGAGACAGGCTGGTGTCTAAGGCAGCATGAAAAACCCCTCTGTGTTCTCTGGCGCTTCCTGTGCGTTGGGCTCGTGGAACTGAGAGAAAAAAGGCAGCTTCTGGGGATGGGAGTGTTGTAATTTCTGAAATTATTAGAGTTATTATAGTAATAGATGTATTGCTTCTAGAAATGTTCCTTTAATAATTGAAGACTTAGTTTTATTTCCTCTGAAAATGCCTTCGTGCTCTATCTCTCTTGAATAATTGGTGCTTTGGTGTTGGGATTTTGAATTCAAATATTTTGCCTTCCAGACTCATAGTAAACATTGATAATATCTTTGATTTATGCTCTGCTCATTTCAGTTGTACTTTCATGTGCATGGATCTAAATGTATAATGAACTTATCTTTCCAAAGCTTTGCAGATGATTTGAAATGGGCAGCATCAGTCATTTGGATGGCTCCTGGGGAAGGGATGGCAGTAATTACCTTGCCTGTTACTCCATGACCTTTTTTGTAGTTTCTGTATGCAAACAATAATACTGAGTGGGCTCTGGCAATAATAATTTGCTTTTGAAATGTAACATGGGCTGGCAGTATCAACTTATCACCCCTATTAAATACACTGATGGTGCAGTTCTTTCTGAAGGTCTTGGGGGTATTGCTGGACAAGTCTGGTTCCCAACCTTCTCCTCACCTTGGCTGGCACTCCAGTCACTCCCATGGATTATGGGAGGAGCATTTAAATGGGATTTTCCTGCTCCTGAGCACTGGAGTGCACACTGGGCAGTCAGGGTGCTGAAAGCATCAGCTTAGCAAATGTTTGTGTAGAAACTTCTGCCAAATAACCCCAAACCAGACTGGATTCAATGGTGGGGAGATCGAAGAATTAAGAGAGAGAGAAGAAACCAGAGCACAGTTTATTTTTGTTAAAGATATGTGTGTATGAGCAGGCATATAAAAACTGCAAAAAATGAGAATAATTT